GGCTGTGGAGAAAGCTTTGGTTGGAGCTTTCGTCATCGGGCTTGCGTCAGCCTTCGTGTTTGGCCTGAGATTGCAGGCAGATGGTGTGAATTTGGGTTTGCTTGTGGGTTTGTTGGAAGGCAGCCTGATCATCACCACCGGTTTTGCCTACGCACACCTCCTCGCATTGCTGGTGGTGAACCTACGTCAAGCGTCTGGCTATGAACGCTTGCTGGACGAAAAAGACCCAGAAGAGGTGGATTACAAGGCCACTGGCCCAGCCAAACGTAGGATAGGCAAAGTTCTATTAGACAAGACATAACGAAAGAAAGGAGTGAAAAGAGAACGGTATGAAGTTACAAGCAAAAAAAAGATTGCACAAAAATGGCAAGGATGTGGAAAGAGTAATTTCATCAGCCGCATGGTATAGGAAAACAACTGCTGCTGCAATTTGCCATTTGGGTCCAGAAGTTCAAATTAGTTTTGCTTGGCTGGCTCAAGTCGTGTACACGCATTTCTATCCTGTTCTTTGCTTTGATGTTGTCACGTTTTTCTATTCATGTTTAGGTTCTTTCTTCTAGCCCTTTAGTTGGGACCTTTCTTTTTTACTTCCTTGCTCTTTGGGTTTCGATGCCATTGTGTTGTTTGTTTTGTAAAACCCAAAGTCTGCCAAAGAGTCAGGTGAATGTCGGACTGGGAGGTTCTGCCGTTTTGGCGATGCTGATTTTGCAGATCATCTCTGGCATCGTGGTGTGGCAGTTCTCCTATCACCGTCTCCTGATTGTTTCCACGGTTTTCGGCATACTTGCTGCAGCGTTTGGTCTTGCGAAGATCTTCCCCAAGCTTGTGAATGGAGTTGGGCCGTGTCCCTGTTGTTCCTGCTTTTTCTGCTCCGTGATCGTCTACATCATGACAGCAATGCTTGTGGTGGTGGCTGGTTCTCTTCCAGATGATCCCAACTTCCTTCTTGAAAAGAGCAGTTTTTCTCCAGCGCCCAACGCATCCCACTTTGATGTCAATCACCAAGCACCGGGCGTGCTTGCAGGCTTTGGAGCATACCCAATTTGCAACAACATGCAGTGGGACAGCCTAAAACCTACAAAGGGCTCCCAGCTCACAGCTCTTGATCTCCTGGTTTTTGCACAAGCAGTGTATTTCGGGCCTCGAAAAGATATTCAAGAAGAACTGGACAACGCCACGTTGAACACTGAGCTCTATCCAGTGACTATAGATTCCATCCAGGATACAGGAGAAGTTGGTCGCGTTGGCGTTTTCAGCATGTCCAACGTGAAAACGCGTGTGATTGCCATCCGTGGCTCAAGTCAAGCTCCAGATTGGACCTTCAATTTGGACGTTTGGGGTCCTGGAGTCTTCCACAGCTTTGTGAAGCTTGGTGGTTTTGTTTTATTGCACAGCAACATATTTGTCCATATGGTCCCACTCATGCCCCTTTTTTGCGGAAGAATACAGGATGTCTCAGCACATGGAACTGGGTTTACAGTTTGCGCCTTGTACTTTGCATAATGCATTGAAGTCGATTGTAAAAAACTACATGCATCCATCCTCCCTCCCATCCATCCATCCATGCATGCATGCATACATACATACATGTATATAATATGTAAGTGTTCCTTAAATCTAAGAACCAAATGAATAGTGCAAGCGCTTCTTCAAGGAAGCTTCCCCCGCTGCCTCTAGGGTAGCTTTAGTAAGCGTTCTAACGCTACCTAGCGACCTCCGCGGCCTACCCCCCCTCAGGAAGACAGCGTTTCCCTTCGGCAGCTTGGTTCCCACCACCTTTGCGAAGAGGAGGCTCAGTGTGGACGTCCGTGAGCTCTTGGGATTGGATCCTCCGTGGGTTCGCATCGGAAAGCAGATCCAAGCGGCCAAAGAGCTCAGCGAGAAGGACGCCAAAAGAGCTTTGTGTGTTTAAAGTGCTGTGCGGCAGCTTAACATCAGTGCAAAACATGTTTGCTAGCAACTATTAGAAAGGGTGATGAGCACAGGGATACTAGGCTTGATCTTCTCGTTTCCCTAAAGTTACTACTAGTAAGGCACTTGTTACTAGTAGCGTCCTTGTTACTACTAGTAAGGCACTTGTTACTGTTGATGCATGACCCCTGCACAAGGACGACACGCCTTTTACTTGCTGCATTCTGCAGCCCTTTTTCATGAAGCCAAGCTCAGAGAAGCTTGAAGGGTCGAGAAACCCACGACAAGACCACGAGGTCACTGGAAAAGAAGGGTGTTCAGCTTGCACTTGTTTCTTGTTCGTTTTGAGAGGGTTGAAACGGGGTGAGGAACATGCCCAACCACCAACAGGTTATGAGCCCAACGTTGGAAAGTTCTTCTAATCCACACCCGTCTATGCTCCGGCGCCGTCGAATCATGGACCGTGACGATGGGCCGCTCGCTTTGCCACCTCCTGCTGATGTCCGCGAAGACCTGGAGGTGAAGCAACCGACGGAAGAGCTCGAAGCTGGTGTAGGAGAAGAAGAAGCCAAAAAGGAATTCAGCACCCCGGCTCGATCGACAACAGGGCTGGGGAATACAGGAACAGGGAAGACTGAAATGGAGGTGTTCAAGAGCGGTGGCTCGAAAGAGAGTGTGGTTCAAGCCCCAAAAGGAAAGCCCACGACCTTGGCTCCGTTGGCTCCACCGACACCTCAAACCATGCAGCCCTTGTTCACCCAGGAGCAGATCCGTGAAGCTAAGGCATCTGCTCGAAGTGCTCCACAACTCTTCGGCCCAGGTCTGATGCCGTCCTCTTCAGGTGATGATCGGCCTGCTCAGGTGTCTCGCCCGGCCTTTCTGGAAGAAGAAGAAGAAAAAAGGGAAGGAAAGAGAGGAGGTAAGAAAGAAGGGTATAGAAGGGTGGTGGAGATGGAAGAGGAAGAAAGAGCTGAGAAGATGTGAAGAGAGCTCCAATGATCCCCGAAGGACCCGTCGAGCTAAGGAGCGAGAAGAACAAGAAGAGGAAATCATGTGGCGCTGGCAGGTCTCTCAGGATGTGCAACGGCCCACTGATCTATGCCATGCCCAACAACGTGAAAATGATCGCCTTCAGCAGGAGCTCTATGAATGGAGGATTGAAGGGGAAGACCGGAAGAGGTTGGAGGTTGAAGAAAAGAAGAGGAAGGAAGGAGAAGAAATGGAAAGACCAAGAAGTGCCTCCAACTTCAACACCCCTGATGAAGAGGGACCGAACGGGATTCCGGGGATTGATGACCTACATGCCCGAGGACGCACACCGTGGTCTACTTACCCGGCTCGCTATGGGGTCAAGGGTTCCAGGCCCCGCTCAAAAGAACAACAGAGGAAGGGTCGAAGTCCATCCTACGGGACAGGGGAGATGAAGGGGCCTAGACCTACAACCGGGGGAGCCAAACTATCCCCTGAAGTTCAACAGATGGAAGTGATGACACTTTTGGTGGAAAGTATGAAGTCTCTCCAACGACAGATTTCGGAGGGACAAGAAGCTCAAGGAACGGTGAAGGGGGTGGAGATTGTCCGTCAGGTTGCTGAACTACCTGTTCTACATCCTCTACATGGTTCCACCTCGCAGTTGCAGCTGGGTGATTGGCTGCTTCTTGTTCAGCCGGTGGTGGCTGACCTGACGACCACCTCTGACATTTGGTGGGGTCGAATGATGACTGAGGTTGAGAAGTGGTACCAAGACCACCAGGTAATGGCTCCCTTGGATCGGGTCAAGCATGAACCTGTGCCTCCATCATCACTTAGTGTTCCAAAGTGGGCGAAGCTGGAACGGCGAATGGCCACCCTGTTGCTGAAGGCAATTCCAGAAGTTCAGAAAGATGAACTGGTGGCTACAAGAAGGTTGTCAGTCTTCGCCATCCTCGCCCATCTTCATGTCACCTACTGCCCTGGTGGTATCAGCGAAAAACAGATGCTCCTGCGGAACCTTGAAGATCCAACGGAACCAGGAAATCTGCACGACACTGTGGTTGGCCTCCGTCGATGGCTTCGTTGGCGTGCAAGGGCTCAGGAGATTGGGGCCACCGAACCTGACCCGTCCATTCTGGTCAAGGGTCTGAATCGCTTGACGAAGCGAGTCTTGGATGGCAATGAAAGCCTGCGGTTCCGGGTGCCTTTGGCCCGGAATGCTCTTCAGGTCGACACCAACCCCAATGCGCTTTCGGTCAGCCAGTTTGCAACCCATCTCATTGCCGAGATCGAACAGCTCTCCTTGGCTGAGAAACGAAGCGGTGCAACTACGAAAAAGGAAGAAAACAAAGTGAAGGAGATTGAGGAGGTCAAAAAGAAGACCAAGGGAAGTGAAGGAAAGTTGAAGGAGATGGAAGTCAAGCCGCCGTGCAAGTTCTTCCTCAGCGAGGCCGGATGTCGTCGTGGCCGTGATTGCAAATGGTCGCATGACCAAAAGGATGAACACAAAAGGTGTTACTTGCGTGGCTCCACGAAGCACCTAGCCCCTACCTGCCCTACGAAGGAAACGTCAGGTGGAGCTGCTCCCAACTCGCCACCGAAGGTCAAGAAAGAAAAAGAAGAAGAGAAGGATCCTAAAGGCGAGGAAGGAGGAAAAGGAAGTGGAGGTCAAGATGATGAAAAGATGGATGAACTTCTCGCTGAAGCCAACAAGATGCTCAAGGCGATGAAGGACAAAGAAGCTTCGGAAGCTAAGCTGAGCCGATTGCGTCAGCAGCTTGATGAGATCAAGAAAAGTATCAAAACCTTGATGTTGACCCGGTTCGCGAAGCGAAGATGGGGTCTTCCCAAGAAGAAGAATGGGGACTCTTGGATTCTGGTGCTACGCATCCCCTGAGGCCTCTTGCATCTACGGACTGCCTCGAGAAGTTCAAGAAGATCTCTGTGTCCCTGGCTGATGGCCGAACAACACCTCTTTTGATGACTGAATCGGGGGTGATGGTGTCAACAAATCTACAAGTGGAACCGATAGTGCCCCTTGGAATGCTGGCCGGTGGAGGATGCAAGATCTCTTGGAAAAAGCATGGCATGAAAGTCTCCCATCCTACAAAAGGATCTCTGCCTATCAGCATCCAAGCGGGGTGTCCACAAATCCCCAAGCAGCTTGCCCTCGAGCTCATCCAAGAGTATGAAGATCGCACACAAGAAGTTAAGCAAGCTCACCTGGTGGGTGAAACGCACCCTGAAAGGGAGGTGGAGTGGATGAAGTCTATGGTTGAAGGCCATCCAGCTTTGGCAGAACTTCCGGACCATGTCAAGAAAGCCTTGGTCCAACAACCGGGGGAGTGGAAGGATCTTCCTGCCAACCGGCATCAACGAAAGCGGCTGAAGGCAGCTGGCTCGGTGATCCTGCATTTGTACGCGGGAAAACGCGAAGGATTCACTCTATGGAAGAGCATGGCTTGGGAAGCCGTACCTTGGAGGTGGATTTGCAACGGGGTGAAGATCATGACATGGCGTCCCTGGATTCGAAGGCCTACAGGGGCCTACTTCGTTTGGCGCTTGATGGGGATTTGGCGGCGGTGATTGGAGGACCCAACTGTCGCACTCGATCCGTTTTGCGACATTATCCTGGTGGCCCACGACCTGTACGATCTTGAGAGGAGCCATGGGGCATCAGTTCCTACAGCCCTGAAGAAATGGCCATGTGTCAAGAGGACGACGTCCTAATGTGGCGCCAGATCTTTCTCTTCCTGGTCGCGGACATGGCTGCCAAGTTGAAGGATTCAACAAATGAAGATGAAGAAAAGAAAAGCAAGGAAGAAGTGATGTTCCTACTAGAGCAGCCTTCCGACCCCAAGGATTACATGCCCTCGTGTGTCTCCTTCTGGGGTACGGAAGAAGCTTCAAAGTGCCGCTCATCTGCAAGTCCACAACCTGAACCAGGGAGACTACGAACCCTGGAAGAAGGATGCTCCGGTGAAGCCTACAACTCTGGCCGCCAATGTTGAGCTCCGCTTACCAAAAGGAAAAAAACCCTGGATCAAAGAGCAGAGGAGAAGGTCAGAAGGTTCTGTCATCCTCACTTGCTCGCTGGGTTCCAGGACTATGTCGATCGGTTGCTGAAGCTTGCGCTCTTCACATCAATGGAAATGTGGAGGAGGAACCAAAGCTGAAAAAGATGACATGGGAGCAGCACTGTCAAAACGGCACGTGCCCTTCCGAAGAGACTGTCGCACCTGCCAGGAGCAAAGCGCTAAGTCCCGGCCTCATCGAAAGGTCACACATCCACTGGCAGCGACGCTGTCACTGGACACTGCTGGTCCATATCCTGTCGCCAAAGATGGTAAAGACTGGATGAAGTACATCCTCGTTGGTACCTACACCTGGCTTCTTCCTCAAGAACAGCATCCGCCAGTACCAGATGATGAACTGGCTGATTCTGATGAGGTGCTGCTTGAAGAAGAAGATGAGGAGGAAGGAAATGAAAAGAAAGATGAAGAAGAAGGTGTGGCGGAAGAAGGCGAACAAGGTGAGGAGATGAAGGAAGTTGAAGTGAGTGAAGAAAAAGAGAACCCCGACCTGATCACCTTCAGACTCGCCATTCCGATGGCCTCAAAGGATCAGAAGACGGTGCTGTCCACGATCCAGCAAATGTACATCCAGCTCAGGGTGATGGGCTACCACGTGGCAAGGCTTCACACTGATCTCGGGGGAGAATTCAGAGGAAGATCCCTTACCCAGTGGTGCCGCTCAAGGGACATCCATCGCACCACAACGGCAGGAGTCTCTTCTCAGTCCAATGGGCGCGCGGAAAGAGCGATTCAAACAGTGAAGTTCCACATCCGTCGGGCCCTTGGCATGGCTGGTACGCCGGCGGGTCGATGGCCTCAAGCACGCCACTATGTTCACGAGCGGGAGCGAAGACGCATGGCCGATCTCGATCTGGGGGATGTCCCGCCCTTTGGTCATGAGCTCCTGGTCAAAAGAAGATTCTGGAAGACAAAAGAATTGGAAGCGACTTGTGAGAAGGTGCGCTACCTGGCCCCAAGACCCGATGCTCACGGTCACCTGGTGTTGAGAGACAATGGCTCTACGGCGATCGCCCCGTACTTCATCATGAAGACCCAGGAACCTGAGCCGAGCCAATCAACTTGGATGGCTGTTACAAAGGCCGCTGAGGACTGAGGGTCCCTATGAAGTCCGAAGAAGGATAAGGGGAAAAATGGGAGCCAAAAGTATGAAGTTGGAAGAAGATGAATATGAAGTGGTTGAAGAAGAAAGAGAACGGCACCTGGAAAGGATCTCCAACATCGTCCTGGAGGAAAGTGTGATCATGCTTAAGGATGAAA